GTTTCCTGGTTCTGAACTGGACTGATGTGGTCCTGTTTCCTGGTTCTAAACTGGACGGATGTGGTCCTGTTTCCTGGTTCTGAACTGGACTGATGTGGTCCTGGTTCCTGGTTCTGATCTGGACTGATGTGGTCCTGTTTCCTGCATCTGGATCTTTCTGGGTCTGGTTCAGACTCTGTTCCTCTGATTCTGGATCTTTTTAGATGGTAAAATCTGCTGTAACTGATTTAAAGTGGCTGTTAAAGTTCAGGTCTGAGTCCAGATTTCTGACCCGGTTTTTAGCCTCCAGACAGTCTGAAGGTGTCTAATGACTTCAGATTTGTCTTAATTTAACTGGAGGAAGTTGTTCTGGTTTCTTAAACTGATCAGTTCCACACAGAGACCCAATAAACCAACAGATCTGAGTCCCAATAAACCAACAGATCTGAGTCTCATCTGTCCAGCTGTGGTCAGACACATCATAACAAACACAGACCAGCTGAACTCATGACCACACGCTCCTGCCCACGCCGTGTTTTCACTAAATGTTCTCCTCGTTTGTTGTTGTAGTGATCAAACTTCCCCACAAACGTCAATAAACGTTGGTGTGACCGGCTGGTTTCTTGGAACACAGGCACACGCTTTACAGCCTGTGAGGCTTTTACGGCTGTTTGCGCTCCGGGTTTCTTTCCTTCCTGGTTCACAGCAACAGACACAACCATAAAAGCGAAAAAAAAAACACGGACGCTCACGGGCCGGCCGGAAAAACGAGTCTGTAGGAGCCTCGGCTGGGTATCTAACTCCTCCAACATCCAAGTCGGCCATTTTGGTTAGGTCATGTGACTAGCAGCTTTCTGAGGTGGAAACGAAACTTTACTGTCTATACGAAATCCGAAGATAAACGATGTCCTGACCCTAACCCTGACCCTAACCCTAAACCTAACTCTAACCCTAAACCTGACCTTAATCCTAAACCTAACCCTGACCTTAATCCTAAACCTGACCCTCCACCCAAAACCTAACCCTCACCCTAAACCTAACCCTGAACTTCCACCCTAAACCTGACCCTGACCCTAAACCAAACCCTAACCCTAACCCTAAACCTAACCCTCCACCCTTCATATTTGTGAGAAATAAATATTTTTTGGTTAAACTTGTTTGGACGTATTGTACAAACCTATTTAACATCCACTATTTTAACATAACATTATGGATAGAGTTTAATTCAGTGTTTGCAATATTCATTTCACTATTTTTAAATTAATGTCTATATTGCCATGAAGCATTTAGGATTTTCTTGTCTGGGATCTTCCTATTGGTGACCTAATCAAAATGGCCTTGGACTTGGATGTGGGTGGAGTCGGATATCCATCCTTGGCTTCCTGCAGTCTGCAGACGGACTTGGCCACATTTCTTTTCACATTTCCAAACCACTGTGAGCCTTTTAAAGTCTACCTGAGGCCCAGCTTGGCACCTGGGTCCGGCCTCCTGAGGCTCAGGGTTTTTTTTGTGTGTGGTTAGTGTCTCACCGGGTTCGCACAGCTGGAAGCCCTGCCAGTCGGCCATCTTGTTGTCCAGGATGCGTCCTAGCACGGAGGGCAGCAGCAGCACGGGCCGGCAGATGGGCGGGTGGTGGGGGGTCACCAGCGTGTAGGGCATCAGGCTCACGCAGCACTTAGAGGGGCACCGGTCTGCAGGAGATAGAGATAAAAGGGGGGGGTTAGGGGTTGGTAACAGCCCGGACAGACCGAGCAGCCTGTAGGAGCCTCGGCTGGATGTCCAGCTACTACCATGTCCAAGTCGGACATTTTGATTAAGTCATGTGACTAGCAGCTTTCTGAGGTGGAAACGAAACTTTACTGTCTATACGAAATCAGAAGATAAACAATGTCCTAAACCTAACCCTGACCCTAACCCTAAACCTGAACCTAACCCTAACCCTGGCCCTAACCCTCCACCCTGACCCTAACTCTAACCCAACCTAACCCTAAACTTAACCCTCCACCCTAACTTAACCCTAACCCTAACTAACCCTAAACCTAACCCTAAACTTCCACCTCTACCTAACCCTAACCATAAACCTAACTCTAACCCTAACCCTCCACCCTAACCCCTTCATAATTGTGAGAACTAAATATTTTTGGTTAAACTTGTTTGGACTTATTGTACAAACCTATTTAACATCCACTATTTTAACATAATATTATGGATAGAGTTTAATTCAGTGTTTGCCAGATTCATTTCACTATTTTTGAATCAATGCCTATATTGCCATGAAGCAATTCCGACTTTCTTGCCTGGGATCTTCCTATTGGTGACCTAATCAAAATGGCCGACATCCCTCCCTGGCCTCCTACCCTCTGCAGCTCTGGGACTGACCTGGCTCTCCGGGCGAGGCCTGCTCCTCCTCCACACTGACCCACAGCGGGTTCCTGCCCTGCTGCCCGGTGCTGACGATCCTCACGGCCTTCCCTCGGGGGGGGGGGCACCTCCCGCCCGGCCTTCAGGGAGGAAAGACCCCAGAAATCACTCCTCACACTCAAACTCGCTGAGTCAGATTGGTTTTGGATAGGATTTTTGGTTTACCTTTTGACACTTCTTTGTTTGAAAGCTCATTTCTTCAATGGCTCGAATCAGGAGCCGCTGCGCCCTGGGGGGTCAAAGCACAACATTTTGAACCAAATTTAGCTAATAAAATACTTAAAAAGAAAATTATTTTAGCCAGTAAAATACTTCAAAAACTACACAATGTCCCTTTAATCCGCCATTAAAGATGTGATTTTGAACCAACTTTAGCTAATAAAATACTTAAGAAGAACATGATTTTAGCTAATAAAATACTTAAAATGAACATGATTTTTGCTAATAAAATACTTGAAAAGACAACGATTTTAGCTAATAAAATAGTTTAAAAAAAATTATTTTAGCTAATTAAATACTCAAAAAGACAACGACTTTAACTGATAAAATACTGAAAAAGAACATGATTTAGGTACTAACATACTTAAAGAGACAACGATTTTAGCTAATAAAATACTTAAAATACAACAATATGTCCCTTTAATCAGCCATAACATTATGTACTCCTTTAAAGAGATGATTTTGAATCATATTTAGGTAATAAAATACTGAAAAAGAACATGATTTTAGCTAGTAAAATACTTAAAAAACTACACAATGTCCCTTTAATCAGCCATAACATTATAACCTCCTTTAAAGAGGTGATTTTGAAACCTATTTAGCTAATAAAATACTTAAAAAGAACATGATTTTAGCTTATAAAATACTTAAAATAAACATGATTTCAGATAATAAAATACTTAAAAAGAACCTAAAGACAACGATTTTAGCTAATAAAATACTTAAAAAGAACATGATTTTAGCTAATAACATACTAAAAATGACAACGATTTTAGCTAATTAAATATTTAAAAAGAACATGATTTTAGCTAAGAAAATACTTCAGAAAATGATTTTAACCAATAAAATACTTCAAAAGAACATGATTTTAGCTAATAAAATACTTAAGAAAATAATTTTAACCAATAAAATACTTCAAAAGACCATGATATTATCTAATAAAACGCTTAAACCCCCTCTGCCGCCCCCACCTGTAGTAGTTGGGCACGCTGCCCCCCTGCAGGTCCAGCAGCTGGTGGGGGTGCACCTGGCTGGCGTGCCACTCGGCCTCGGCGCCGTTGGGCCGCGTGTTGGTGATGTGCAGGACGTCGTTGCAGGTTACGGCCAGCGCCCCCCCGCCGCCGGCCGCCAGGGACAGGTTGACCCGCACGTAGAAGGAGTCCCCGGAGGAGCCGGGGCTGCTGGACAGCTGCTGCAGCAGGGCCTGGTAGTCTGGAGGGAGGATATTTATTTATATTTACGTTGTTTATGATCATTAACGTGACGTTAGCCTCGAATTGCTAGCTGCAGCTATTAACGGCTAATGGCTAATAACAACACGGCAACATTAATTATTCAAGTCCGTCTGGCTGCAGACTGCAGGAAGCCAAGGATGGATATCCAACTCCACCCACATCCAAGTCGGCCATTTTGATCAGGTCACCAATAGGAAGATCCCAGGCAAGAAAATCCTAATTGCTTCATGGCAATATAGACATTAATTTAAAAATAGTGAAATGAATCTTGCAAACACTGAATTAAACTCTGTACATAATATTATGTTAAAATAGTGGATGTTAAATAGGTTTGTACAATAAGTCCAAACAAGTTTAACCCAAAAATATTTATTTCTCACAATTATGAAGGGTGGAGGGTTAGGGTTAGGGTCAGATATAGGACTAAAGTTTGTCTTCCGATTTCGTATAGACATGACTAACAGCTTTCTCAGGTGTAAATTAAACTTTATTGTAAATACCGAAATCGGAAGACAAACGATGTTCTAACCCTAACCCTAAACCTAAACTAAACCAAATCCTGACCCTAAATTAAATCTAATCTAAATCTAAATCTAATCTAAACCCTAAATCTATACATAATATTATGGATAGAGTTTAATTCAGTGTTTGCAAGATTCATTTCACTATTTTTAAACTAATGTCTATATTACCATGAAGCAATTACCATTTTCTGGCTTGGGATCTTCCTATTGGTGACCTAATCAAAATGGCCGACTTGGATGTGGGTGGAGTTGGATATCCCCCCTGGTCTGGGACGTACCATCTTGGCGGGGCCGGAGGGAGAGGTGGCAGAAGCCGGTGACCTGGCTGAGGGCCCAGGTGGCCTCCTCCAGGGTGGAGTCCTCCAGAACCATCCTCAGAGCCCTGCCCTTCTGCTCGTACTTCACCTGGGGAGCAGCGGCGCCATGACAACCAGACCTGGACCAGGACCCGGACCAGGGTCTGGACCAGGACCAGGACCTGGACCTGGACCTGGACCTGGGCCTGGGCCTGGACCAAGACCTGGACCCTGACACGGACCCGGACCCAGACACAGACACAGACCCGGACCTGGAGCCGGACGCCGACCCGGATCCGGACCCAGACCTGGGCCTGGACCCAGACCTGGGCCTGGACCCAGACCCAGAGCCAAAGCCAGACCTTGACCTGGACCCGGACCCGGACCTTGACCAGGACCCGGTCCCGGACACGGACCCAGACCTGGACCCAGACTCAGACCCGGCTGGACCCGGACCTGGACATGGATCCAGACACAGACCCGGACCCGGGACCGGAACCAGACCCGGTCCCGGACACAGACCCGGAACCAGACCTGGAGCTGGACCTGGGCCTGGACCCAGACCCAGACCCAGACCAGGACCCGGACCCAGACCCAGACCCGGTCCCAGACACAGAACCAGACCTGGACCCAGACCCAGACCCGGACACGGACCAGGACCCAGACCTGGACCCAGACCCAGAACCGGACCCAGACCTGGACCCGGACACTGAACCAGACCCAGACACTGAACCAGACCCAGACCTGGACCAGGACCTGGACCCAGAGCTGGACCTGGACCTAGACCCGGACCTGGACCCGGACCCAGACCCGGACCCAGACCCAGACCCAGACCCAGAGCCGGACCCTGACCCGGACCTGGACCTGGACCTGGGACCCAGACCTGGGCCTGGACCCAGACCCGGAGCCAAAGCCAGACCTTGACCTGGACCCGGACCCGGACCTTGACCAGGACCCGGTCCCGGACACGGACCCAGACCTGGACCCAGACTCAGACCCGGCTGGACCCGGACCTGGACATGGATCCAGACACAGACCCGGACCCGGGACCGGAACCAGACCCGGTCCCGGACACAGACCCGGAACCAGACCTGGAGCTGGACCTGGGCCTGGACCCAGACCCAGACCCGGATCGGACCCAGACCCAGACCTGGACACGGACCCGGACCCAGACCCGGTCCCAGACAAAGACCAAGACCCAGACCCGGACCCAGACCCATACCCGGCCCTGGACCTGGACCCGGTACCTGTCCCAGACACAGACCCAGACACAGACCCGGAGCCGGACACAGACCAAGACCAAAACACAGACTCAGACCCAGACCAAGACCTGGACCCGGACACAGACACAGACCCAGACACAGACC